AAAATTGATTCGATTCTGTTTATTTCGCGAGCGACCGGCCAACCTGGGTCCTTTGAACAGTAAAACACATGTATATATATATATACACATATAGATACACAGTATACACATTTGGTTAAAAAAATATGTTACATCTATACATATATCTTTATGTATTATACACATCTCCGCTTTCATAGCCGCATTCTACCCCAAATCCTGGCAAGAATGCGCGCATGTATTCTGGGCTGACAAGCACATACGCGTGCCCTCATTCTGCATTTTGCTTTCTCCGTGCTGAGAAGCTGTATCTAGATCCAAGGTGGCTCTGAGGCACCTTCAAGAAAGGGCAGCAAGGGCATTGAAATTCTTGATTAGGCTTGGAACAACCGACCCGAAATGTGACTCAAGATCTAGAAGTGGGGACATTCTGCTTCGAAGATGTTCAGTTCGAGGGATCTTAGTATAAGTTTAAAGTGCTCGAGTCTAAACATCAGCTGCTTAGCCTCACGCATCAGCAACGGATGGCAAGCAGCCAACCTGCCCCCTTTCCAACCACCACTCTTGCTTTTCCAAATTATATCAAATTATATAAGTGAATTCATGTCGACAAATGCCTCAATCTACAGAGAATGGTTGGGCAATTCAATCAAGGGCTCCCCCTTTTGACAATCCCCACTCCAAATTTCCCCACAAAAGCAAAGAGGCGAAATGTCGAGCTCCGAGGAAAAAGTTGGAACGAGTCTCCTTGGATGCCCGGAAAATCACTCGAGCGTTAGATCAGCGGAAAGCGATCAAACATGTTGCTTGCGATAACCTGTCTTGGATCTTGAACCTATGCTAACAACGGCTTTGATGGTCCTCAACCAGCTTCTGTTCGCACTTCTGGCTTAGGTTCCAAACAATTACAATGCCCGACTTGAGATTCACTTACATTATCCTTTTCCTTGGAACGTCTGTTTTGTACCTCTAAGCCTCTTTGCTGCATGATATGCGACACGCTCCTTGCTTGTGCCTTGTCACTGTTGGCTTAGGAGCTTGCCAACCATAGTTGTCTAGAGCTTTTGCTATGGTTCGGGCTCTGTCTGGGGCATCTAATACTATTGCGTTCATTAGCCAGAAAGCTGTGCAACAAAATCACTATATTAATAAATATATAAATATATCTATATCTATGTCTCAAAGGTTTTATAAGCCTAACAGTAGGAGAGACATGACTTGCGAAGACGCAATACAAGAAGCTGCTCCAAGGCCGCGCTGGTGGGAACATAGACTCTCGGAAGCGACACGTTCTATAACGAAATCGCTGGTTTTTTTGCAAGCCCTTAAGCGGGCAGTTTAGTGCATGGTTTGGCAGCAAAAAAATACGTCAGGCCCAAGCCCACGCAGACTAGAACTTTTGGAATTTCGACAAGGCGAACCAGCTGCAAAGAAATTACAGGAGCGTGTGAGATGAAAGGTCCCAGGTCCCACGTGGCCAGAGGCTGGGGAATCAAAGTCCTGATAAGACACCCGATTGCCAGAAAACATTCAGATATAACAAACAACCTTGACCTTAAGGACCCTGTATTTCAATGCTTAGAAAAAACATGTCAACCCTTGTCGCAACTCTCATTGGGCACTATACTGGAGAGTCGTGAATTGCGGTATGCTGGTAGTATGCTGTGTCTGTGTTAAAACACGGGAGATTGGTCGAGATTCGTCCTATGTGAGTGAAGCTCACGGGGCGAAAGACCAAGATAAAGCCAAGTGCGCCAGATACCACAATGCGTGGCGTGTCAGTTGGCAGATCTTAGCCGCGCTACTTTGGTCAAGTCTGCCGTCGCGCACGACGTGTGAACTTCCGATGATGCCCTCAGTGGCGTCCGTCTCGGACCTTGTGGGCAAGGTAGACATCGCCAAAACGAAAGGGCGCTACGACAAGAAAAGTGCGTTTCGAAGTTTACCCTGAGCTTGAGCCTGCACAATCCACACTTTTGTGCCAACTTGCGCAGAACTTGCTGAAAAGTCCAGAGGCCAAAGTGACTGTACCAATCAAGCTCTAGGTCTGTACGGTTAAATATGCTGTAGGAAACCTCAACCCTGCACCTGTGTCTGGAACACAAGGACCTGTTTTTTCTTCAAAATCCTTCAGCTTTGTTGACCTGCACGTGTCCGTGTAATCTCTCTGTCTTGCTTGGGTTGTGACCCTAAACATGTCCCGTAGCAGACCGGCAACAAAAACAGGCTTCTGAAGCGATGTTTTAATCTGCTACATGTAAGCGAGCAACAGCTGACTGACATAGTGACCATTCTCAAAAGGGAGGCTGACTATATATTCATTCCGAAAACAACTTTTTAATGTGCAAGATTCTGCTCTGAGGAGAAGCAGCGGCGCCACGCTAGGCATCCCCTATGAGTGGTTGGCGCAGAACGGAAAGCGTGCTTCGCCATTGCATGATCACGAGACCGCCACCGCTCTTTGGTGTTGTTGGTGTCAGAGGTGCAGGCCTGAGATTCTAATTGGAAACCCCCAGCCCAGCTAAGTTGGTTGGAAGAATCTGCAGTAAATACTCTGAAGCTGAAAGTCGGCTCACATGATTATGTGTTCTTTTCGAAGGAAAAAACTCCCTGTCGGTGTATTGGAAACTGTTTCCGCACTCAAGGCACGCATTCAGAAACCTTGCCAAACTTGAAACGGCTTTGCGCGTCACATATGCGTTCTTTTGACCCAGGACTGGCTGAGTCGGTAGATCTTTGGGAATAGTTTCATCCAGTTCCCTTTCGAGTTTGGAGGTGCTCCAAGCGTCATGCACTTTGGTCTTGCCCTTGGGCTGAGACTGCGCGCGCTTGTGTCTGCAGTGCTCAAGCGCAATGAGCCAAAGCTGCCCATGTACATTTGTGTTGGTGGGCGGTGGTTGAGCAGACTACTTCGTGTGCAACGATGGTACTTGAAGCGCTAGGTAATTTTACAGAAAACGACGCTATGCGGGTGTGGTTTTTACGCGTTTTTGTGATTTGTGGTTTTCTGTGTTTTTTTGAAAATGTTAGTTGTTTTGAAGAACGTGTCTAGCAAAAATGTCGACTTTATCAAATTTCTCATCAATCTGATTCAAACATACTAGTTCTCACTGATTCCCACACAGAAGTCCATCAACCATCATCTATCAGCAAGTCCACGACATCCCATCATACAACATCAGGTCATCACCTCTATGAGGGAGATCTGGTCTCCAAGACCTCCAATCTCAATCAGTCCTCAATCTCCAGCAACTGGGGCCTGGGCCTGGGCTTCTCTAGGGGGG